CTGCTTGTTTGATTTCTTCTTTCTCTCCCTTTCCCACTTCCATGTCTGGGCTCTCTCCTGCTGTCCCCTCCCCGTTTTCTCTTGTTTCTTCTTGAGCTTCCTCAGTTACAGATATTACACTCCCCTCGTTCTCCTTTCCTCTTTGAAACAACATCTTGTCTACCATTTCTACACTTACCCTATTTTCCCCCACTGTCCCTTTCTGATTCACGTTGTTCCTCAGGGGTCTCACCTTGCTTGCATAGGCTTTGGGACACCTGTAGAATAAGTGTCCCTTCTCACACCTAGTGCATTTAAGAGACCCATGGCACTTTGCAGCTCTATGCCCATTCCTTTCACATCTGTAACACACTATGAGCAGATAGAGTGCAGAAAGGTGCCCCTCCTTGCCACATTTACTGCATTGCTTTGGTTCCCCATGGTATATTATAAAACCCCAGTGGGGCCCCAGCTGGATCATGAATGGAAGGTGCTGCACCCTGGCTGGACTCCACTTACGTGCTCTCAACACAACTCATGCCCTCCATAACCCCGTCCAAATACCATATCTGCCCTGCACCTTGTCTACACACATTACGCTTTGCACATGCAATTCCATCCACCTTTCTGTGTCTTCTGCCTTTAATAAATCCATATACATTCTTACTATAATCACTAATTTCCTTGACTTTTCCTCTGCTATAAACTTTATCCCTCTTAATTTCTCCCTCCCACATTCCTCTGTATGTTTCTTCCAAAAATTTTCATACTATTCATTGTTTCAGCAAGTAAACTCCCAAGTCTTTCCATTTTGAAAAGCAATCAGGCTGGTGAGATATTAGAGCTGCAGGCAGAACATCTCAAACATTGCCTTTTCCATGAACTCATATCTGGTCATTGTTGATCTCATTTGCATCCCGTCACTGATTGATATTGCTTCTATCCAAAGTTTCTGATCCTCCCTGGTATCTCTCAGTTAATCTTCTGTATCTTCCCATCATGCTGCTCCTGGTGGGCTGGCATTTCATCATCTTCCTGCCACTTTCTGGCTCATTTGACATACCTTCTCCTGCTGTTCCTGCTGTATCTCCCATTCTCCTTTGCTCTTATTTTCCCTCTGGCCCTGCTCCTCTCCCTGTCCCTACTGTGCCTCTGTCACTTTTGCTACTTCTGCTGTTCCTCCCATCTTCTTTATCATCTATCTTCTCCATCTCTCTTTAGACTTCCTTTTATGATCTTCATTTCACTTTTCACCTCCTGGTTGGTTGGCACAAATGCCATTGTTTTGAGCTCAGGTTTCCCTTCTCTGCTTCTTACACCTCAATGCTCCATTGATTCCTATCTCTGCCCTTAAGGAATTGATCAGGCTTTTAGCTGATCACTTGATCTTAACCCAAGAGACCAAAAAATGCTGATGAGAACCTACCACAAGGATAGATTAGTGTAGCCCATCTAAATAAGACATATGACAGTGCCTATTAAGCACAGTGCCCTTCACCACTGACTCTCTTTCAAGTCATGGTGAGCCACTACATTGCATACATGTTGACTTCTTCACTCCTGCCGCTAAGCTATGTCTTTCTTTTCCATTTTCAATTACTCTTGTTTCTTTCAGCCTTAAATGTCTGGAAAACATCATCAAATGGGGCCTGTAACAGGGAATCCTAGCCCTTTTACCAGAAAGCAGGCTGGTCCCTTTAAGATCAGAACTTTCCAGGCACAGCCTGCTGGCAGGGTAGGGGTTAAAAGTTGAGCCTTGCTGGCTAGTCAGGTGACCAGATGGGGGCAGGCAAGAACTATAAAAAACCTGGGCTTGGTGGCAGTTCTCTGGCAACAGCCAGCGGGGAAGGATTTTGTGCATAAGAGCTGCACAGAGATGCTTGGCTGCCTGTCCACCTGCTGTAGGGGAACTCCTGATGTACTTCCAGAGAAGCTGCGGCAGCCACAAAAGAAGGAGTGTAACAGATGGTGGGAAGCAGGAGCACAGAGCCATGAAAAAACAAGCTGGCATACTGCCTTCTTTAATTGTTATTTTTTGTGGTTATAGCCCATGGACTTACTGTTTGTATTTTGACTGATAGACCAGTGGTTTGTGGTCAAGGCTGTAGGAGAGGAGGAGGCCTCATTAACACCTTGGTGCACAGTCATAAAAGGCCAAAGGACCTAGTGCACTAGGGGGTGCAGTTGTATAGGGTCAGTAGCCCAGAGCTTGCTGTAGGACTTTGAAGTCGGGTCCCAGTGGGGGGATCTTGGCTAGTAGCCCAAGCTATAAGAAAGGGCCAAGCCTGAAGAGGCAGAAGACCCAACATCTTGGCATCCAGGGGCACAGGGTAAAAGGAGGCCAGAAGGTGCGGCTCTATAGTGAAAGCAAAAGGAGGGCCACGGGCCCAGAGAGGATTAAAGAAAAGCCTGTGGTGGCTGAAAACCCCAACACAGAAGTACAATAAGCAGTCTCCTGCTTGTAAGAACATCTAAATAATATTTACATCAAGACATGGCAAACGAGTAAAGCAGGGATACAAGACAAAAGATAGAAGTGAAACATTAAGGGACTTCAAGGGTGCCCTTCATAGGCCACTAGAATGCCGCTGGGGAGGGCAACCTGTTACAAGGCCCCAAACAGTTCACCCAGTATTCTTCTCTCAGCCTGGTGCATATGATTAGTGTGCCCCACCCTCCATAAGGTGAAGCTGGACCAGGTTGTCCTGGGCCTTATCTGTAGGGTGACTATATGGGACAATGTGAAATCTGAGATGTTGTCTGCTTGCCTGCCTGCCTGCCCCCCTCTTCCCCCCGCCATCAGCAGGCCCATTAATGACCAGCTTTCTTTACTTCATAGGTGTTAACACTCACCTGTGAAGAAACAATTCATGTTAATGAGACTTCCTACTTCACAGCTCCTGCTGCTCTGTTTCTCCCCTTTCTGCCTTCATGCCCTGTTCCTGTTCATTTTAATTTTCCCCAGCTGGCTAGATCCAGCCTCCAAAACCTGGGACTGTCTGGGCAATGCAGAATATATAGTTATCCTACTCATCCACATATAAATTTTTGGAGTGCCCCAGTTCCAGTCATGAGTGCGATGCTAATTAGAACATGATTCCTTTGTGTGGGGTTTCTGGAGTATACACACATACTGAGTAGTGCTGAGCTGTGGTGTCACCATGGCTTGAAATGCTGTTGACTCTGATTGGGCCCAGTCTAATGAACTACATGGTAAATCATGAGCCTTTTGGCTTTGCACTAATATCATGCATAGTTTGTACTATATATAAGTAGGTGAAAAAATGTTGTTTGAAAGTGTGTTTATATGCTAAAACTTGCAGCAGTTTAAAAAATAATGTAACATGCATCAATTCTGGATGAACTAAGTCTATGGAAACTATATGCAAATTGCTACAGCTATGTTTAATTTCAAAGTTATTGTTTTGAAATTTGTTCTTTATTTCTATGTGCTTAGGAAGAGCAAGGTCTGACAGAGCAGAGAGAGGGGATAGAGGTTGACAGGGGGAAAAGTTGGGGGAAGCAGAGAACAAAGGGCCTACCTGATCCCCCAGATTTATTGTCCCTACTATAGTAGTAGTGGGGACACAAATTCAAGACAAACCTTCAACAAAGTTATACATTTTCCATATATAGAATCTAATTATTGTGGGGGCATCTTATAATCAGGGCCATCTTCTATTTGAATAAATACGGTAATTAAAAGTATCCTTTATTGGGAACGTCAACTTATTTTATGTTGACTACAGCCTTTCATTTTGCCAAAGATTTTTATAGCAAAACCACATAGTATTTCACAAGGTGGTTGGGGCAGTTGTAGTTTGTGGTGACTGAGCAGAATTTTTGGCATCTGAGAAGACATGAAAGAGTGTCTCTTGACACTAGGAAGGGTTAGTTTTCCTCTTCTCCCCACAAAGGATGCTTAGGTTCAGCTCTGAAACATTTGACTTTAGACACACTGTACTACCAAATTGACTCCTCTGCCCTGAGTTAGGGACCTAGACTCTATATACAGTGCATGGGGAGCATTAGGCACCTCAGAAGGGAACTCTTAGAAGCCAGCAAGCTAAGCACAATGCTGCTTATGGTAACCTGTACAGAACAGTAGGCAGGAGGGTGAGGCCTCTGCTCCATCCACCTGAAGTAACAAGTGCCTAAGTGAATGGTACAGATTTCCCTTCCTGCTCTTAGGATTTATAACTATGAACATTCTCATGGAATTAGTTGCCCAAACCAAGTCCTTCATCACAAAAAGTGGAAAAGGAAGTAAGGGCATGACTTTATACCCAAAATCCGAGTAGTAAGAGGAGTCACCTGGGCAATGGGAGACCCAGGCATAAGTTCTTCCCTCTCTGCTCATTTTGGAGCAGTAAATTTAGCCCATCTTTCTTCCCCTTCTTCCTTAGGGAAGTGCCTTTACTTTGGGGCAGGTTGCTCTCTTTCTGTCACGTTGAAGCTGTTCCACCTTATCTAAAATATGGACATATTCACTGAGCCAGAGAGAGGAGTGAGCAAGACTCCCTAACTTGGTGCTTAAGGCTTTAGTGGCTATTTTAAGTATGTTATGCAAAGTGGAACAGCTTCAGCAGAAGCTGAGATAAGTCTACCGCAACATACCTTATAGCTTAATGGGCTGAATATTAATGTACTATATCTGCATATAAATATCTGTTCCACAGCAAGCAGAGAACTCTGGAAGCAGGGCATTTATACATATACCTTTTTGTCCTGCGATGCGCTGGAGATCCAGCATGTCCATGTGCAAGCTGACATGCTTGGTGCTGCATTGCATGCATTTGTATAAATGGTGAAATGTGCATCAGCACTGGGAAAATGGGGGCAGTACACTTTTGAACTAAAACACCTTTGATGCAAGGGGCTGTGAGAGAATAGCTTCACCTTTTGTGGGGTGTCCTTGGTTTTAATTTTGTCTGTGTGTGTGTGTGTGTGTGTGTGTGTGTGTGGTTATTGTTGTTGTTCTGTTTTGCATTTATTTGAAATGACATCAGATAATATATGGATTGAATAACTGATGTATTTATTTTCTTATATACATTTAAATATGGCACATCTGACAGTAGTTGAAAATAAATTTAAAATGATAATCAAAGCTGGACAGTAGATCAAATAAGTCAGTGTTGAACATGTGAGAAGCCCAATCCTGTACACTGAAGTTTTGAAGAATGTTTCAACAGAGGTTTGCATTAGCAAGGGATTGAGAGACTAAGTCTATTTAGTTTGAATTTTTATATAACTGGATGATGGCTGTCACCCTTTTACCAACTTCATCCTCCATATTACAATGTTGAGTTGGCTCTTACCACTCTTCCTCTTCTACAGCCGGTAATCCTTCTACTATAGTTATCCATTACAGGATGGCTGCCAATGACCCAGAGGATCTACTAACAGTTAGTGATTAATCTAATAAATAAATGCAGACAGGGTTCATTCTTCTGCCAATAAAGTGGAAGATGTCCATGTTTACTAATGATTTAAAGGTCAGTGACAGCTACTTTGCAAAGCAGTGTATTGTTGGGAAAGAAGGGTAGGGCAAGCTTGATCAAGGATTTTCTTTGCTTTGGGATCCATGAGAGCCTCTCTTCTCCTTTGGACAGCGACAGTGCCTTGAACATACTGGCTTTGCAGTTGGGCACATTCTGGGTTGGGATGGGCACCTGTCTTCACAGCTGTTTGACAAGATAGAGAGGGAGAGAAATAGAAACATGATAACGCTCTGCTTTTACATTCTTCATAGTTTTTAGCATCTTAGCTTATTAACCCCAAATGACATGCCCTCATTTGAGGGAAGTTTAGGAGGTCATAGACTGGAAAGGTTCAGTATCTCCATGCAAAGTGAAACCTTAAATTAGAGTTGTCAACTTTGTTAGACACAAGGCACCCCTCAGAAAAAAACTAGTTCTTAGTTTTCACTGTTTTTTCACGACAGAAAAAATAATAGAGCAATTCTCTTGTTACAAAGAACTCAGAAAGACAAGTCAGAATGTTTTTAACACTATGGACTCCTATTTGAAATCTCTAGGTTTATCTTGTGAATCATATTTGTATACTTAATGTTGCTACAGCATCCCGGTTGAGAGTCACTGCCTGAGATGCACAGAGACATCTGTATGGAAGACTGGTCCTTCCACGTTAGTTCACTGGGTACCTTCACTCTAACAATATGTCTTACTATTTTCCAAATTTCTGCACATTTTCACAGCAGCAGCCTGAGAGTGTCCCAAGGTATTGTGATTTAAGAGCAACATGATTTCCAATCAGACTCTCATGTTCTATGGTGCCAGCAGGGCACAATACTGAAGATAGTGAGTGTTTCCTTGCTTTATCACCTTTTGGACTCTAAATCCTGCAGACTCTTCATTCCACAGACTTCCAAAAGAGGAGCTTGCCATGAGGTCTCAGAAGGCAGGTAGTGATGGTGTAGAGCTAGGAGTCCCTGTCCTGTCCTCCTGAACTTCCCTCAGGATAGCAGGTGGCTGCTAGTTGACTATTACTGAAATCATGTTACATGCTTCTGAATGATGTAAGAGTATAACTGAAGACATAAATGCTCTACTTATTCATGAGTCAAGATAGGTACAACACAGGCAGTGCAAACTTCCCTATGTTGCCACAGCATGCCTTAGCCATGACCTAGACTCTAGACATAGGTCCTAGAGGGACCATTAGTCTGTATGAAAGACTAGTCAATTTCTATTCCCATTCAGCCCTTGAATCTGTGATAGGGCAGTGCATAAATATGTTTACTCAGTGCAGTGCTATATATATATATATGTGTATGTATGTATGTATGTGTATGTATATGTATATATGATGATATTTTCAACACATGACCTGTTCACTATGAATTAGACTTAGCTGGTTTCCCAAAGGCCACGTACCAGCGCTCAGATTGTAACAACCATCAATACAAGTGACATGGACTGAATTTGAATACCTAAAAATGGAAAGCTCCATATCCCACTTCATATCCCTTGTGCCTTATAGTCTCTCTAGCTAAAATATAGAAAAAAAAGTATTCATTTACTATGGCAAAAAAAAAAAAAAGGTTTGTGTTTAAATAGCACCTTTTCTCCAAAGATCTCAAAGCACATAAATTAAACAAACCTCCCATCATTTTCCAAGGTAAATACTGTAAGTATTATGAGTCAGGTAACTCATCCAGGGTCTCACAGTCCATCCATGGTAAAGTAGAACCTACAGGTTCTGACTCCCTGCCCTCTGCTTTAATCATGAAAAATATATCTGTACTACTTCTCCAGCAGTCCTACTCTCAAGTAGGCCATGTAGACCTACTCCTACTCTGCACATGCCAAACCAGAAATGAGGCAGTAGAGTTTCACTGAGGGTGCTCCTGTTCAATATTTCTGCCTCTGGAATACTGAGAGCAGCAGTGGGAATTGTCCTTAGTATGTCATATCTCCTAGTTTTATTGCATGTAGAGTGGGAATGAGTAGGTGGGGTATGCTCAGGAGAGGCATCCCTGTGAGTGCCAGGGAAGCAGTGTAGATATTTCCTAAACAAGAATGGACTGTATCCCAGGGAAAAAAACTGGTGAATGCACCTGGATGACAATTTCAAAGATCATCTGCATTGCTTAACTGAATGGAACGTGTTGTTCATAATATTCAGTCATGGTAAGTATTGTGCAATTGAATGGGAAGGAACAGTTACCTGCAGTTTTCAGCATGAAATATCTTGTGTTTCTGAGCACAGCTCTCCTGGCTCTCCTGACACAAATAGCAGCTGCAGTTCTCTTTACTTTGAAAGAAATCAATAGGACATTTCCGTTTGCAGATACACTCACAATTATCTTCATCAAATTCCATATGTTGTCCACACATAGCCAGCTCAGCAAGAGGAGGGAGTCCTATAACAAAAGATTAATTTTTGAGCAGTAAGCTACTTTTGATCAATTCCAATCCTCTATATACACATAGTACCTCAGTTGAAATCACTAGTATGCATTCATGTATACATGAAGGTAGCATCTAGTCTATGGCATGTCTATTATGTGTTAATATGCTGGAAGGGACTCCTGTGAAATGCAGAAGCCTTCTGTGAAAATCCACCACCACCAAAATAAAGACATGGTTGTGATCATTCCTTTCAATCTCATCAAGTTACCCACAGTGGATACCGCTAAATCATCTCTACATGTGATGATCTCCCTAGATATACCTGACTCTGAATTGCTAGAAGTTTGTTTTCGGGCTCTACCAGATTACATCAAAACAGCAAGTGTTTAAAGCAAAAATTGTGAAGGAAGTTAAACCTGGATGTCTTACAGAGTTTACACATGCATGTGCATGCACACACACACTCAATGTTCTATGCTACCTATCTAATCAGGGTATTTGTTATCACAGATAAAAAGTATAGGCTAATCTAAATCCATTTACTAAGCAGTACATTTTCCTTGTTGATTATAGTAATCAGAAAACATTTTGTTTCAATGGTAAAAGAACAAACCGAATGATCGTACTCCTCAGCACCTGATCACTCTTCAAACATGTTCATCCTAACATACAACATATGATCTATCACAGCAAAACAGGAACACTTGTGAGAGCCCTTTAAGATGTCGGCAGCACATCCCTGGTTAAAGGTCACAGAATATAATGTGTCACTGGAAAGGTAATTTCCTGCAGTTTTACAATTAACTCTTGGATTTAACCACCTATGGCATGTGGAATGTAACCTACGTCTATGACCTCTGAAATCTGAGCTCTGATCTCCGTAGGCAGAAAGGATATATGGGAGACCCAGGCTTTACTACTTGAAAGAAGCCTTCATTACTGTTAATTTAGCACCAGGAAATTAATACCCAAATGAAAATAAGAACCAAATATTATTTAAAGATGCACAGATTCTGCCTGGATCATGACAAAACTATTCTCCATGCCCACTCCCTTGATATTATGACCCTTAGCATATCTGAATTCTTAGTTAGTGTTTAGTTCCCTCTTTGCTTTAGCCTCAAAGTCTTATTTAAATTAATTTGTCCAAGCCACATCCAAAATGCACATTTTTTTTTAAATGATTGTTTATCATTAGAAATATTTGTTCTACATCAGCAAAACACATACTTCAGTACATCTGTACATTAATTTTATTGCAAGGTCACAGAACAAATGTCTATGTGTTAGATGTAATATAAATTTGCGTTCCTTTGGTCTTCCTCTAAAATACTGACTTCACCACTACAGCTAACATACCAAACTTGATAGATGAATAATCTGATGCAGGTTGACATAATGTCCCTGAAGGATCACTAATGCTGGGTTTTTGTCTATTAATTCTAAAAGATTGTACCAGGCAAAAGAGTTTATGGAGTTATTCAGTTATATTTTTGGTCTCTGGCCAAGAAAGCAAATACTTGTCAACTTGCTTTTATTATTGATTTGGCTGATATATTCACTCATTTCTTGAATGCAAATTTATATATAGTACAGACAGAAGATTTCTTTCTGTTTCCATGAAGTACAGTTTTTATGAGAACCTCATTTTGACTAGTCCAAATTATTCCCTATATGAATCTAAATATTACACAGTGCTTAGGGTGAGTTTAATACTTCTGAATATGAAAGATTCTCTAGACTTATAGGAGTTGGTTTATTATCCCCATAGAAATTTTTCAACAGATTTCTTTGACAGATTCTAGTCTTTTCACCAAGAGTAGGGGAAGGATAGAAGTAGTTCATAAAAAATATTTGGGTTATGGTTTTGTACCAAGTTAAAAGCTTTCTTGGAAACCATTCCTAGCCATAATCTCCATCAACTTTATTCAGTTTTTATCCAAGACCTTGATAATGCAAACCCTTACTCTCATAATTAGCTCCGTTGGCATTAGTGAGTTGGCTCAGGTCTTATTTGCATGCCAATGGGCCTTGCTACATGTTAATTTTAGGTGGCGCTTAGAGCTTTTAATCTCTGATTGTCTGCATATTAATACCTGAAACTAGTTTTAAGCACACTTTAAGCAGTTTACTTTCACCACTCCATGGCAGGTTTATCTCTGATCTGTGTTACCCAGCTTGTATTCCATGAATGTCTGGCCATTCCCTAGAGATGAGCTGCCCAAGTTGCAGTCCTCCAGCATCCCAGGTTACAGTGTTCCCTCCCCCACCCTCTTGTTCTGTGTGGACACTTTTCATCTCCTGAACTCTACTGCCCAGGGGGTGGCTCTGGCACCAAGCTAATTCCTCTTCCGGCCCCCAGGGGTGTGACCTTCCCGTCCCCAGGAGTACAACCCTGTGCAAACAGCCTGCAGAGCACATGCCAGCTAGCCAGACTGCAGGACACAGATGGGTCCAGGAGTGCAGTCTGGAGGGGTAGGGTGGGAACAAAAGAGGAGGCCAGATCAGGTCCCCATGAGCTGGGGCTTCCTTCCCAGGGTAGGGACAGTAGCTCCCCAAACACACCTTCATTTACTGATTCCAACCACCCCAAGAAGCATGACTAGCACTTCCCACAACCTAATCCCAATCCATAGATTCATAGATGTTAGGGTCGGAAGGGACCTCAATAGATCATCGAGTCCAACCCCCTGCATAGGCAGGAAAAAGAGTGCTGGGTCTAGATGACCCCAGCTAGATGCTTATCTAACCTCCTCTTGAAGACCCCCAGGGTAGGGGAGAGCACCACCTCCCTTGGGAGCCCGTTCCAGACCTTGGCCACTTGAACTGTGAAGAAGTTCTTCCTAATGTCCAGTCTAAATCTGCTCTCTGCTAGCTTGTGGCCATTATTTCTTGTAACCCC